CCACCAGTGCTCGCCGCCACTCCATCTCCATCTGTCGCAACTCCTCGCACATGTCCAGGGCGAGATCGCTCACCTCACCGTTGGGGTCAACGAGGCAAAAGTCCACTGCCAACTGACGGATCGCGTTCACGTGACCGTTCAGCAGGGCCGTCTGCTCAGTGTCCTCGCGGAGGGCCTGTTCGTGATGCCGCACAGCCGACATTTCACCGTCTTCCACGAGGTAATTCTCCACACCTTCCTCCTCCTTGCCTGAATTACCCTCGGACGTGGCGGGGAGTTGGGACCGCGGACGACGTCGAAGCCGTCGAATGCTTTGCGGAATGAATTCAGGCGGAGGTCCGACGCTTTCCCCTACACAAATTGCAGAAGCAAACAAACGTCGCAACACCCTGGCCAGCATATTTGGTTGAGACATGCGATAGTCAGCTCTTTTCTACCTGCATCGTGAGAGCAAACATCTTAAATGTAACATTTAGTTTTCAGAGGTTTAAATTTAACTACCTTAAGCCCCAATGATGACAAAATTCGACAGTTCAGTCGTGGGGTTGTCCACGAGGAAGACGGCATCAGATAGTAGATTCAAACAAAACCAGTTATACCTAATGCGGCCCCAAATTAGCAGAGGGGAAGACACAGGATGACAGCCGAGTAAAGCCGCGGATTTCGATCATTTGTTTGTGCTCAGAAAACAAACTCAAGTTACTAAAGGCAACAGTGGACACCTAATCAACTTAATGTCGACGTAAACCATACTCTGACAATCTAGACAAAAGTGGTAGGAAGTAGGCACGCACTCGAACCCCGACTTACCTGGTGTGCCAACGTAAGCATAATCGCCAAGGTCAATGACCGACTTGATGTCCTGGTGATTTTCTTGCTTATTCGCGGTCACAGCAGCTCGGAATCGCCGTGGTTGTCTTGGAATGTGACCAGCATCTTCGTGTGTGATCTCGTGGTTATGCTGCATATTAAGGTGAAAGATCTCCACCCAGCCCTTGTAGGTTTGAATGACGACGTAGGCCTTGCAACCTATGCGTTTGCTAGGATTTAGGTAAAAAAGAAACCACTTTACTTGCGCCATGCAGGACTTTTACTTGCGATCTACTACGAAGTGCCAAATCAACCAAAGCTTAAATTTGAAAACATACTTAATGGGGGCAGCAAATTTGTAGTAAAAAAGAGAAAATTTGTCCTTCGATAAACAGGAGTAGAAGCACAAACATTGAGAAAATCTGTTGGCTCCAATTTGATATCAAATTGAACTATACATGTGATTGGTTAGCGTGGGAAGTTAAGGGACGAGGGACTAACTTAGGATTTTACCGATACTATATAGGTTAAAAATGTAAGACTTGAGGAGATTAAAGGGAGTTTGAACGATGTACATAATGGCGTAGATCTTACCAATACGTTGCTTGGTTAATTAATGAGGAAAGTGAACGAGAGCGACTGTTTAAGGGTCAAAATCCATTCGAAAAGCTAGCGAAGTAGACATTTGCATGGTGAATTACCATACCTGGATTTATAGCAATAAGATTTACGAACTCACCTGACAACGGGACGAGAGGTAGCGCTGCTCTCTGACCAGCCGTAACGAACGCATTCGAAGTGGGCTCTGGCGTAGACTAGGTGTTGTCTATCAACGGCGTCAGCAGGCCACCTCACTGTGTGGCGCTTAACGTAAGACGAGCCCGTATGCTGAAGATAATTCCAAATATACACAGACTTAACTTACCGCTTGAAACGCAACAAGAAGATCATGAAACTCGTTGTACGTCTGATATCTATCAACACGGAAGAACTGACGAAAGTCATCCGTCAAGTCACAAACAACATTATAGGCTAAAAGGGTTATAACCTGCAAAACAACTAATTACTTTCTTCCGGCATGGGTCCATGAATGTGATGCATATTGAATCGGGTCACATAAACACCAGATTTCTTAGAACCAACGGCAAAGAATGCATCACAGTAAGAAACAGAACATGTGAATTGACCCTGTTTTAGTAAGAGATGTGGAAGACCTTCTAAAGGTGTTTGTCGATAGATTACATGCCTTCTAGCAAAACGACATCCAGTTTCCTACATTATGAGTGTCAAATGAGGCGCAATAAATCTCACTTTTTTGAATGTTTCACATGCTTGCTCAAACTCGGCATCGGAAATAAAATGCTTTCCCGTAAAAAGACGTTCAAAATTCTCCGTTAGATCCATGTTGAAGATACAACGTTACTTTCTACGATAAGTTCTATGAAATCACAACACAAACTTCTGGGTTTATCTCACAAATCATCCGCACTTTGTAGCTTAGAGTAACGCAGTGTGGTGTGGCGTCGAATTAGGGCGCAGACATCTTGGACCACCTGGCCTCAGCCAATCCCGTGTCTCTCTGCGATCCCATGGCATGCGGGAAAGGAAGGCAGCCAACCAGAGAAGGACATGGATGAGATGCAGTATATAATGGGCGGCGTGGCCAGCGTGGTGGACTCGGATGGATGGCGCCTGACGCGTGGCTCTGTCTTCTGATTGGTCAATAAAGCCTGTTTTGTTGTGCCGATCTTTTTCCTATTTCTGCTCGGGTATTTTACAGTGGAGACGCATAAGGGCGCAGACATATTAAGCCACGCTAGCCTCAGCCAATCCTGTGTCTCTCTGCGTTTCAAAGGCATGTAAGGCAGATAAGAAACCAACCATAGGGACACGAATGAGGTGCGATATATAATCAGCGTGGTGGACTCGGATGGAAGCCGCCTGAGTTGTGGCTCTTGCCTGTGATTGTTCAATAAAGCGTGTTCTGTTGTCAAATATTCTTGATACTTGGACTCAGTTGTTATACATTGCAAACGGATGCGTTCCCTAAAAGACCTCTAAATGCCACCTGAATTTGCCATGGAGGTTCATACGATGTCCCGAAAACTGGATTTACAGACATTGCCCGGGATTAGGACCAAGGAATCTGAAGAGGCGTACGCATGTCAACGACAAAGACACGGACAGCAGATGCCAGTTTGACTACAAGAGGAAAAGGAACCTGCAATGGATGAAGCGCCCTTCCACCAAGTAATTAAGAACAAAGTCCATTGTCTACTTACCGAATAAGCCGGTATTATGTACCGGAATTTATGTACCGGGGAATGTAAAAATGGATATTTATAAATGCCCAAAAGTTCGAATATCCAAGCCAGAGGCTGAGAACAGCTTCCATCCTGATTGGGAGGCGGTGTAGCGACGCTTAATGGTATAGACATATTGGAGAAAATTGGCCTTGGCTAATCCTACATATATTTCTGTGTTCTAACGTCATGCGAGGAAGATATGCAGCCAACCAGATAAAAATACGAGCGTGGAGCCCTTGCATTAAGAAGATTGGTAGCACAGCACAGGCTTTATTGAATTATCAAAAGACAGAACTACACGCCAGGTGCCCTCTATCCTTGTCGACCACGCTGGTTTTGCCGCTCATTTTATATAACTTCTGAGGCGTGTCTGTTTCTGGTTGGCAATCTGGCTTAATTACATGCCACTAAAACGAAAGGAGACAGAGGATTGGCTGAGGCCAGCGTGGTCCAATATGTCTGCACCCTATATGTCCCTGCTGTAGAACACCCCAGCACCAATAGAAAAAAAACCGTTACAACAGAACAGGCTTTATTGACCAATCAGAAGCCAGGGCCACGCGTCAGGCGCCTTCCATCCGAGTCCGCCACGCTGACCACGCCGCTCATTATATACTACTCCTCATTCTTCTCCTACTCTGGTTGGCTGCCTTCCTTTCCCGCATGCCATTGGAACGCAGAAAAACACAGATTTACTGAGGCCAAGTGGTCCACCATGTCTGCGCCCTAATCCGACGCCACACTGCCTCCCCCTTAGGAATGAAGCTGTCCTCAGCTTCTGGCTTGGTTGCTTGCACTGTTGTTGATATCCAGTGTTGATAAAATATCCAGTTCGACAATCCCCGCACCCCACATCTGGCAGGATAGTGGCCCATGCGAATAGCTGACGAGGGACTTTGCACTTGTAGACTTGCAGGAAAGACTCATCATCCATTGAAGGTCCTTCGCAGATGCAGTCCAGCTGGCTTTCACTGTCCAAGT